TACTTAGGCCTGTACCGTGGTAGGTAGTATTGTTCTTCATCACCTCACGATCCGGGTCGGCCCACCGAACAGCTGTTGTTACGGTCGCGGTCGCGCGGCCACAAACGGTTCCCGATCATGGCATCTGCTACATATTCGTCACATTGTCTGCTTGGAGGGCGACTTACTGATTTATGTGAATAGGCGGATTTTGGAGTTGAGTTATAGGACTGAGTTATGCTACAGTATAGAGTCAGCGCCACAGCCAAGATTCTTAGTAAGGTGGACGGTGTCAGAGATGACGGTTAAAGACCTTCTAACTTGTTTAGCACTAAAGACAGTGTTATCTCGACTTTTGGAAACTCTATTCGGCCTAGCTTGGCTTTGGTTCGAGGCTAATCCTATGCCCTGGCCCTGAACCTGTTGTGCAATTGTACTACTACCTATTCCGCCAGCATTATTTAGTATCTTCAAAGTATATCCTCAATTCAATAGGCACCGATCGCATTCGTTATAGCCCGATTTTGTTACTATTATATCACAGTTACCGCCGTCGCAGTTCTATTCGAGCTATTCGAAAGCATTTCTAAGTTCATACTACGTAATTTTCAGGCTCGTAAGATTATTGCCGAACGGCCAATAAACCCTCGATATAAACCTCTTATTTCTTACATTCGCAAACGCCTCGACCTTGACGAATATGACGATATATCTTATATCGAATACATGCGGCTCAGCAAAGCACAGATTCGTAAGTTCTCAAGAGTTCCCCCTCTCTTAGCTGTTAAGTGTGCGCCAAGGTGGTTTACGCTATATTAAGATAACTCGGTACGATAACTCGGTCTTCGAAATCCATTTACGCGATTTAATCAAGTTAACGAAAAGTGGAGATAATTCAATTGTTAAACAATTTGCAAGCATGAGGCGTGTTTCATTTCGCTTAATAATGGGACTTGACGTTGCAACTTCAAGGGCCTTTCTTTAAAATGGGCGAAACAGTTATATCCCGCGTCAAATGCTATTAAAATCAAGCGAAAATCTGATAAAATTTACGATCTTAATCGCGTGCATCTTAACGAATCTTAAAGCTATAATAATAATAAAATATGATACAGTCGAGACACTCGTAAAGTGTCGTTGTTGTTGTTGTTGTTGTTGTTGTTGTTGTTGTTGTTGTTGTTGTTGTTGTTGTTGTTGTTGTATTTATTAACGTCGGGCGGGTATCCAAAACGCAATGCTTGGACCCTGGGGACCTCTCATAGGGTACGGCGACGTGCTAAGTAAAGGAATTATATATAAAGTACTATCTAATCGAGAGTAAAAACCACGTTGAGGAAAACCTCTCGTCAAATAGCTGAACACTTGTAAACCCTTTAAAAGCAATTCATAGTGATGTGCGTCGAGTTTTCTTTCGACAACTGTCGAATACGTGTGGCCCTACGGGCGGCCTCGATCCGTATAGTACAAACATCGTTCTCTTTCGTCGTAGAGCTAAAAAGGCTCGCGTTCGTAGCCCTTGGATAGAGCCGGTGTGTTTGCAGAACGCTCTTTCGAAGGCGCAGTACCGTGTTTTCGATCAATCGAACTAAGCCCTTCCTATCCTATCTCTTATACACGTTCCCCCTCTATCGCAAATCCTCTTGGTCTTTTCAGTCGGTATGCCCGTCAGGTATAGATCGTAGTCGGCGTAGTATTCGAGAAGGAGGAGGGAGGTTCGGAATCGCCGGTAAAGGGAAATCTCTTCGAGGAGACGTCGCATGTCGATGATTCAATTTCGGCTCTCCAGACTCTTTATCTCTCTTTCTACCGCAGGAGAGAGAAAGAAAAAGAGCTGAAGGTTCGTAGGGGGCACCTCGTACAGGTAAAGAATCGTAGCCCCCCACTCGTAAAGTGTCAAGCGTACGATTAGATAGTATTACAATACTATTCTTCTCCAGCCGTAACAAATCTAGCAAAATCAGGCGAATCTTTCATCAAATAATAATATATTTGAACCCGAATAACACGATGACCAATTATATTAAAGTATTGAAATCAAAATCATTAGATCCATATAGTCGTATTTTAATGAGATACCAATTTCTAATCACGAAGCTTTTAGTACATAAAAAGAAATAGATAATGATTTTATTTTCGACGCGGGGCATAATTGTTTCGCCTACTTTGGGGAAGGCCCTTCAAAGTTGCGACGTCAAGTCCCACTATTAATCGATTTCCAGAAACTGTTTCTAAAATCATGACCGATGGTTTCCAAATGCCTCGAACATGAGTAGTGGAGCAAGTTTTCGAATCCCTTAATTAATTCTCAAGTTTGAATGCCGCTCTATGCTGCGAATTTTGATTCAAACGCGTCCCGCATAACTTTTGCAATCGTTAATAGTTGTACGTTAACCTTTATTTCAGTTTGAAAAAAGCCAATTTCGCACTTACCACGGTACAGGCCTAAGTATTACCCCTCGAGGGTGCCTCCAAAGTTTATTTTCACTTTAAACCCCCTGTTTTTCCTACCCTCGAGGGGTAATACTTACGCCTGCGACGTAGTAGTACCACGGTACAGGCCTAAGTACCACGGTACAGGCCTAAGTATTACCCCTC